ATTGGACCGGGACAGAATCGCTACACCTGGGGAATTTTGGTGCACCTCGGGACCGCATTAAAGCTTTGTGCTCAAATGCCGTTATGCTTCGAGTCAAATCTGTAAGGGAGGAAGTATTGGGTGTATTGATTAAAGGGTGGAGGAAAGGGGAAGGAGGGGACTGGGGGAGGGAAGGAGGGAAGGAGGGGGACTGGGGGAGGGAAAGAAGGGAGTGGAGAGAGAGAGGGAGGGGAGTGGAGGAGGAGGAAGGGGGAGGGAGGGAGGGAAGGAGGGATGGCTGGCTGGAGGAGGGTGGAGGAGGAAGAGAGAGAGGGAGAGAGACAGACAGACTGACAGACAGACAGACAGAGACAGTGAGAAGCAGACAGACAAAAAGACAGAGACAAAGACATAAATGGAGAGAGATAGCGACAGAGACAGACACAGACGGAGAGAGAAAGAAAGAGAGAGAGAGTGAGTGCTAGAGACAGAGACAGGGAGAGACAGAAAGACAGAGAAAAACAGAGACAGAGAGAAACAGACAGACAGACAGAGACACACAGAGTAAGAAAGAGAGAGAGAGAGCGAGAGAGCCAACCTTGCGGCGGTAATTGATAGCAACAGGTGGCGTTTTCTCTTCAACCTCAATCACCACTGAAGTTTTTCCTTCTTTACGCCCACATCTCTCCCGGGTGAGTCTTTTGCGTTAAATCAAATGCAATAGCACGTGATTGCTAAAAATACGATAATTCCAAAATTTAAGATGATAATTACCATAAAATTTAGATGATAACAGTCATAGAATTGATAATGGTGATGACGAGAATGATGAAAAAAATCATATTAACATCACATGCAATAAGAAACGACTGCAAAAAAACACGATCATTCCAAAAATTAAGATAACAACCATAAGATCAATAATAATGATGAGAAGAATGATGAAATAACCACATTGATGTTCTGCGTTAAATCACGATTGAAAAGAACACCGTAATTCCAAACATGATAAAGTAATGGAAATAAAGACGAGAAGGATGAAAATAATCAATCATAGAGAATATACTGTAAACGGGACCTATATATTTTTAGCAACAACCCCAATCTACAGTGGCTCATTAGCTCAGGGAAGTCAGACAGTAAAGAGAAAAATCCCCACCGTATTTGCATACAATGTGCATGGGCGTTTAAAAAGGGTTGGGAACAGAGAGCTATTGTGTCCTTATTAAAAAAAAAGGAAGATATAGAGGGAGGGAGAGAGGTGTGGGGAGAGAGAGAGAGAGAAGAGAGAGAGAAGAGAGAGAGAGAGAGAGAGAGAGAGAGAGAGAGAGAGAGAGAGAGAGAGAGAGAGAGAGAGAGAGAGAGAGTGAAAAATCAATTAGAGAGAGAGAGGGAGAGAGAGAGAGAGAGAGAGAGAGAGAGAGAGAGAGAGAGAGAGAGAGAGAGAGAGAGAGAGAGAGAGAGAGAGAGAGAGAGAGAGAGAGAGAGAGAGAGAGAGACAGACAGAAAGAGAGAGAGAGACTGACAGATAGGCAGAAAGACAGATAAACAGAGACAGGCAGAATAATAGACATATATACAAACAGATAGATAGACAGATACAGAAAGATTAATAAATATAGACAAACAGACAGTCAAGAATATAGGGAGGAATTGACACACAGACAGATAGAAAGGCAATGACAGACAGAAAGAAAGACACACCTATAGTGAAAAATCAACACAGACAGGTAGACAGACAATGGCAGACAAACAAACAGACAACGGAAGTAATCTCTCTTTTTCGACACGCGGAAACACCTGCCATGGCTCCAGCTTTGCAATGTCTGCCACTTGAGAGGAGCGTCCAGGCGGGAGATGACAGCTTCCCTGGATTAGTGAAAGACCAGGATGCTGTGAGCTGGGGCGTGACTTCCGCAGATGGGAGATGTTGGTCAGCTGTCAATTGTCTTTTCATTATCGTTATCTTTTGTCTGGTTGTATGCCTGTGTTTGGGAGTGTGTGTGTGTGTGTGTGTGTGTGTGTGTGTGTGTGTTTGCAAACGTATGTCTGTGATTGTGTCTGAACGTGTGTGTGTGTTTGAAAGTGTTTATGTATGTGTGTGAGAGAGTCGTGTATTTGTTTGTTTGTGTGCGCGTGTTTTGTGTGAGAGTATGCGTTTTTAACGTTACGTATCTGTATGATGTATATACGTGTGTGTGTGTGTGTGTGTGTGTGTGTGGTGTGTGTGTGTGTGTGTGTGTGTTTGTTTAAGCCTGCATATGATTCCGTTCGCCTTCCTTTCCTATTAACAAAATCCTTCCAGAATGAATTAGCAAAACGCAGAGTCACCAAGCCTTCTTCCATTCATGCACCCTCGGTCCCAAGGCCAACCAGGATCTTACCAAGTCTATTCAAACGTCCCTATCCCCAACGTCCTCTGCCGGGTGCATGGACAAGGGGTACCTGTGCATGACCGTCAAGCAGACAGCGAAGGACATACCAACTTTACTCGCTGTCCAGAACCAAGAACAAGCTTCCGGTGATCCTGCTGTGTCTGGCAAACACTCGGAGTTCAATTAATCTCAGGATGCTTGTTGTTTTCGTGTGTTGCTGTGTGTCTTGGATCGGGTCTTGCTTGCTTCAGGAGACGAGTGGCGAGTGGAGTTTAATCCTTTTGGTTCGAGGGCGGCTGGGTTTGGGGCTGTCCCTTTTCTCTGTCTCAGTGAAGATGTCTCTGCTCTTTGGCTCTGTTCGTTTATTTGTGTGTGTGTGTCTATCTGTCTGTCTGTCTGTCTGTCTCTCTCTCTCTCTCTCTCTCTCTCTCTCTCTCTCTCTCTCTCTCTCTCTCTCTCTCTCTCTCTCTCTCTCTCTCTCTCTCTCTCTCTCTCTCTCTCTCTCTCTCTTTATATAGTAGATAGATGAATAGGCAGATAGATAGATACCATATATATATATATATATATATATATATATATATATATATATATATATATATATATATATATATATATATATATATATAGATAGATAGATAGATAGATAGATAGATAGATAGATAGATAGATAGATAGATAGATAGATAGATAGATAGATAGATAGATAGATAGATAGATAGATAAAGAGAGAATGTGTGTGTGTGTTTATTCTTGCGTATGTTTTCCCAGGAAAAGGCCTATATCTGACGTCATTGCTATTCACCATTTTCCTTTCATGATCGTATTTTCAGCGTTTAATATTTCTGTCGTTTAACAAGTCAGAAAGTAAAAACATCTGATGAAGAACTGTGTATTTCTAAATATAAACTAACGCTCGATGTTCAGGGATTTTTTAATGATTTAATCTCATAAATCATGGAATTTTGTGTAACACTTGGAACTTAATTTTTCATATTGCACCAGTTCATCTTTTCATTTGCTTTCATGTATATTTATTTGTATATTTTATATATGTATATGATTTTTTCATGAATATATATTTTTTTGTATATCCCATATATATGTATATGATCTTTATTTCTTTCATTATATTTCTTGCCAGTGCTTTGATTACTTTTTTGTTTGTTTGTTTGTTTGATGGAAAAAGTTTTAAAAGATACATAAAAATATGAATAAACAAAATAAACACACATTTGCTTAGTCTTTATTAGCGTCAGGTGTTTCATCAAGCTTTGGATGCAGGTGGAAAATCGAAATTATTCTCTCTCTCTGTCTCTCTCTCTCTCTCTCTCTCTCTCTCTCTCTCTCTCTCTCTCTCTCTCTCTCTCTCTCTCTCTCTCTCTCTCTCTCTCTCTCTCTCTCTCTCTCCTCTCTCTCTCTCTCTTGTTCTTGCTTTCCCTTTCCTTCTCTCTCACTCTCTCACTCTCCCGCTTTCTCTTCACTCTCACTCTCTCCCTCTCTCTCTCTTATTCTTGCTTTCCCTTTCTTCTCTCTCACTCTCTTCACTCTCACTCCCGCTTTATTTTCACTCTCACTCTCACCCCCTCCCACTTCCTCTTCACTCTCTCTCCCTCTCCTACTATCTCTTCACTCTTACTCTCTCCCTCTTCCACTTTCTCTTCATTCTCTTTCTCCTCCTCCTCCTCTTTCTCCCAAATAAACACACACAGGCACCGTAACAATATGTATATAAATTTCCGTGTTCCCAAGTTTCAGGCTTTGGGCAGCGCGCCGTAAAAGGGAATTGAGTGCGGCTTCACAACTGTTATGGTCTCTTATGCAAACATTATGGGTTTGAATGCTAATAAAAATCGCCTACAATATACACGTTCTGATCCCCTGTGCAAAGCGCCCCTGTTCGTGTTGATATTGGGGAAGTTCTGAAGCCAGGTTTAGAGAGGTAGGTTCGACGTCAGTTAGGTTTGAAGTTGAGATAGGTTCTTGAATGTTTATTTATTTATTTATTTATTCTTTTTTTGTTTTTTTTTTTCTTTGTTGAAGTGGGGGGTTCTGGTGGGTGGTTTGGAGTCAGATTTGAAGACAAGTGAGTGAAGTTTGGTTTGAATCTTTGAAGTTTGTTTTGAAGTTGGGTCTGTTGGTTAAAGTTTATGTCTAGTGAGAAGTGTGGAGCAAGATTTAATAGCGTCTTGAATTGAGGTTTGAAAGGACATCTGAAGCTAGATTTAAAGTCAGGCTTGGTACCTAATTCTAAATCGAGTCTGTAGGTAAATTCGCTTTGAACTCACCAAACAGGAGCCGAAGCAAGCCCTGAAGTTAGAACCAAGCAAATCCAACCCCAAACCCGGTCTCAAAACCCATAAACCCACTTGGAAACCATACACGGGGCTCCCTGCCTGTCATATCCCGCAGTAGTTGCTTTCCCCACCAGCCGTGCTCCATACACATGTACTCGACCCGTAATTAACACACTAATGGGAGCTCCCTGCCTGGCCTATCCCACAGTAGTTGCTTTCCCCACCGGCCGTGCTCCATACACACGTACTCGCCCCGCAATTAACACACTAAGGGGAGCTCCCTGCCTGGCCTATCCCACAGTAGTTGCTTTCCCCACCGGCCGTGCTCCATACACACGTACTCCCTGTA